CTTAACAATAGAAATACCTGCGTCTTGTCTTGAAGAATTCATCCAGCCACGTTTTCAATTCCCCTTTATTTTTCTTGCCAACGTTCCACTAACCTTCAATGCTTTAACGGTAAAAATCATCAGTTTTTGACTCGAAGAATTCATGTAAATCAAAAAATCGGAAGAGTGTTCCACAAGCGAAAATTGCTTACGTTTCCATCTATAGCTATTTCAACTGTAAAGTAATGACACCTTTCAGTCAATCAATACTGCGATTAAATTCAAAATGTCTATGTATCATAGCTGAATTTAAGCAGAACAATTAACATGAAAATATTTATAGAATAGTCACAGGGATGATATGTTAGGCTGTGGTAAAGGGACTGGTGCCATATCAGGACCAATAACATTGCAGATTCTTCTTTGGATATTATCAATAATCTCTAAATACAGAGTGGGGTAGTTAAAAACAAAAAAACAAAAACAAAACTTCCTATATCTATGAAGTATAATAAATGCTATTCCTTTTCTGTTTCAGAACAGCCTGGGGTGAAGAGCAAAGTTTTTTATGATCATGTGTTTATTTTTTTTATTAACCTTTGAAATCAGAGCAAACTTTTTGCTCCACCCTGTATATAGCTGCAGCACCAGAATAGATTTGACATCAATATTCAAAGCAAGGACGAATGAATGGCAGACATATAAATATATAAGATAGATTCTGGCGAGAAAACTGTCCAGCACGACATATTGGACCAAATTTCTTCGCTGCAGACTTAGCAATTGATTCAATATACTCTTTTCATTTCAGATCAGATGAAAACGTTCGTCCGAGAAGGCCTAATGAGTCTTTCTCTTGGAGGTTAGCATCAGCCGTAGTAAAATTATCTGAATGCTAGAGAAACAAAGGAAAATAACAAATAACTGACCTAACAAACCTAATATAAATGAATGGGAGGACAGGGATTAGAATGGATAGTGAAAAGACAATTTTATTAAAGGCTATAAAGGATAAGAAGTTATAGAGGGCTATGATAGCCATGTCAATCGTTAATATTAATATGCTTAAATATAACAAGCAAGTTTAAGCAGCGTTTTCTGGGATATTTTCTTGCAGTGGGGAGAGAGAGAGAGACAGAGAGTGAGAGAATGATGTTTTATGTTGCATTGGGGACATCATTGTGGTGCTATGAGTTTTTGTTTTTAAACAGGGGACAGTGTAGGGATCGCATTGTGTTGTATGCAACGTGTAGTTCGTTGGAAAGTAAGAAATCTACAGAGGGGAAAAATACTACGGAATCATACGAGTAAAGAGAGATAGAAGAGAATGTTTGTACTCTGTCATTTATCCTGCATATCGTACGTTAGAAGTTCCCTAGAAGACAAAATATGGTAATATCATAAAGAATATATTTTTTTCTTAAAATTTTTTTTAACTTAATTCACGCTAACTCGAGTCTGGATTGAACTAGTGTAAGTAATGTACAAACGTTTGGGACTTAGAATATTCAATTGTACTTATGGTCATTATCAAGATCAGGGACATAAAAACTAGAGTTTTTGTTTTTAATCAAATTTGTACATAGATAGTGCACAGTTCTTCAAATTTGTACATACAGGGTGCATGGTTGTGAAATAATGACTGAAATGGTAGAAAGTATTTGAAGAAAAACAACAGATTAAAGATGAACTTTAGAAAGTTTAAACACAATTTCGATCCTGATATACAATATATTTCTCAAAATTTGAAATAAGATAAACAAATAAAAATATTTAAAGCTACAGACCTATCAAATAAAATAAAAGGAAAACTTATTTTAGCCGACGTGGTTTGTCCGCTGATATAACTTTAAAAAAAAGTAAATGAAACAACTATCTATAAACAAAAGTAAAAATATTGTTAGTTATTCACAAGTTTAAATTTAAGAATATTCGTCAGGTTGAATGATATGGTTGTTGAATTTTTTGATAATGTAATTGATATTATTTTAATTTGGGATTAATTTATGTATTGTATATTTTAAATACAAAAAGATTATGAATTTTTTTACATTTTTTATAGTAATGTGTATAGGCTTGAGCAGGTAGTAACCCCTTTAGAAAGATTTTAGAGATATTTAAAAAAAAAAAATCCGTGATGGTACCCTCCTGAATTTTCCATCAAAGTTTCTTTTAATAATTGTGGTATTCTTTAGATCAAAATCGTGGTTGAATTTATTTCTATGTATGACAGATACATTTCCGGAATTGTTATGTATGAGATCAGTTTATGTCCATAGATACGTTTTTTTTGTTTTTAATTTCTGCTGGTTTCCCCGTTGTGAGGAGCAGGTGTGACAGTTTATTTTACATTTAAATCTCTGGGGTTAGTAAAAAACAAAAAAGAAAGTAGAATCGCAAATCCGTTCTCAAAAAGTCCAAAAGGCAAAGTGGTTGTAAACAGTCCAGCAGGCAAATTAATACCAAAAACGGGCCTCAAAGATCCAACCTTCCGTTCGCAACAGAGGAAAACGCAATTTTACTCACCAAGCTCAAAAATCGTTCTCCCTTCGTTAATCAAAGCAATGACTTTTATTCACACATCAAATTTTCTGATAGGCCACACCAGTCAGGAAGGAAAGAACATTAGCAAAGTTCTTCTGATACTTAAAGTGACAGGTTTTTGTTAACAATTTTCTTTATTTTTTCCTTCAGCAGACCACGCACAAAGCAAGAACTATTTTTCGAGGTAGAAAGTGATTTTCTCGTTCGTTACAGATATTCCTGCTTCAGAATTATTAATGTTATAGGTATTTTTCGTTCTGATCAGATGCATGATATATATGTGTGTGTGCGTGTGTGCGTGTATGTGTGTGTGTGTGAGTGCGTGCGTGTAGTTTCTAAAGAATTAATAGATTTATTTTTAATCCGACTTCTTTAATTCTAAACTTATTATCGTGGAAAATTCCCATTTCATCTATCGGTTTGCGTTTTACAGAGATCCTGCTGCAGTAAACGGTATATGACATCTTCTTTACTGGGATTTCTTAAATACTCAGGCCGGCAGACGTTATACACACTGTTTAAATTAAAATGAAAGTCTATTTCAAATAGGAAGTGACTACTATAATAATATTTGACGAAGATTGCGTGCACACTTCAGGTCATGTATATATTTATATTTACATACGCTCTATCTCTGATGTTGAGCACTTTTATCCATAAATATAGCATAATTGAAAACAATAACTATATAAACGGAGTTATATATATATATATATATATATATATATATATATATAAAACGATATAAACCGCAAACATTTTTGGTTGAAATGTGGATTTTTTATTTTAAAATATATATTATACTCTATTTTTCAAATTGGAAAATAAAGTATAATATATATTTTAAAATAAAAAATCCACATTTCAACCAAAATATTTCGGTTTATCTTCTTTTAATATATACACGTTTCTCCCCTTGGAACAACTATAACCTCTTCCTATATATATATATATATATATATATATATATATATATATATATATATATATATATATATATATATATATATATATATCATTCTCACTCTGTAATGTTCTGCATTCTTCAGTTCATCTATTGATGCTTTCGTACACAAGCGGCACCAAAATCTTTCTCCAGATTGTCACATAAACTGCAAATCGTGTGCATTAACACACAGCGAAACACTCGTACACAGACACATTTATAAATTTAGCAGTAAAATCTGGCTATCACAAGATCATTAATTTGAAGTTTCAATCGTATAATCCAGATAATGAAAATTAATTTTTATAATAAAAATGAAGAGCTTATTTCATAAGAGAAGTTCAGTTTATTCGATTCCTTTAATCCGATTAAAATATTAACCAAGCTTTTTTTTTCTCTGCAAGTAAATTAACAGAGCAAAGTAGAATCAATTATTAATTGTCGACTATTTTTCCTCCACAGTTCAGGTTTTAAGTGGTACTTCGCTTCACCGTGGCTTTTACTCTTTCGACAGAAATTAACCTTTCATAGGACATTAAAAACGAGAAACAGCTTCATTCCTTTAGAGGAGTTTCGTTTATTTCGTGTAAAGAGATGGCGGCGGCTTTTAGTGATTGGAATTTCGACGTTGTTATTAGCTCGGACTTTCCAAGAAAAGAAAAACATAAAAATAAAGCGAAAACATTGAAGACAGAGACAAAATACGAAAAAGTGTCGAAAAAATAGAAATAGAGATTAAAGATGGGAGGAGAAACGAATGTTGGAAGAATGGGGTGGAAGATTTGGGGTAAAAGGCAGAAGCGGGTTATGGGAATGAATAGAGTAGAGAAGAAGAAAAAAAAACACGAAAGGAAAGTGAATTATAGACGAAATGATGAAAGGAAAGAGAATGAAAAAAGCGTGCTTCTTCGTCCCTCCCGTAAAGAAAAGTTCCGAAAACCATTTACGCATTCTTTCTTTCGTTCTCTCTTTCTTTACTTCCTTCAGTTTCCCTTCACCTCACTCTTACCTTCTCTTCGCTACCTTATTTTTCCTTTCTCTATTCTCTCTCTTTCCTCCCTCTCTCTTCCTCACTCTTTCTTCCCTTCCTCTCTCTCCTTAAAAGTGACAAAGTATACAGAAGAAGAAAAAAGAGAAAGAACAATGGAAAAAGTAAAAAGAAATAAAGATAGAAAGAAAAACGACGAAAGAAAGGAAAAGTAAAGGAAGAATGAAATAAAAAAGAATGAAAAAAGGAAAAATTAACAATAGAAATTGAAGATTGAAGAATAAAAGAAAGATGAAAGAAAGAATGAAAAAGGAATGAATGAATATATGGAAAAATGAAAGAAGAAAGAAAAATATAAAATGTTGAGAATAGAGTTTAGAGGAAGATATATTTCTGCCTTTCTAGAAGCATGAAAGAGCGGAAGATAAAAACAAAGTGAAAGAAAGGAAATGAAAATCGTTGAGAAATGGCAGTTAAAAATCAGAAGGATTCAAAATAAAACAACGAAAATAAAGGAAATTCGGAGAAGAGAGGAAGAAAGAGTTAAAATGCTGAAGAGAGAGAAAAGAAGAAGGTAGAAAGGGGAAGAAAGAGATGAAGAGAAAGAGGGAGAGAGAGAGAGAAAGAAAGGTAGCTGGAGAGGCAGAAAAGAAGAAAGAGGGCGGGAACAGTGAAAGAAGAAGAGAGAGAGGGGATGAGAGAGAGAGAGAGAGAGAGGAAAAGAGATGAAAGGAAAAGAGAGATGAAGTGAGATAGAGGGAAGAGAAGTGAAAGAGGGGAAAAGAAAGCGTAAAACAGAGGGAAGGAAGAGATAGAGGAATAGACGGGGAAAGAGAGGAATGAAAAAGTATAGAAGAGAGAGAGGGAGGTGAAGAGAGATGGAGGGAAGAGAAAGAAAGGGAGGAAATGAGATGGAGGGAAGAGAGAGAAGAGGAGAGAAGGAGGGAAGAGAGAGGAAAAGAAGAGAGAGATGAAGTGAAAGGGATGAGAGAGAGGAAGAGATAAAGAGGGGAAGAGAGAGAAGGGGAGAGAGAGAAAGGAAGAGAGAAGGAGCGAAGATAGAGAAGTAGAGAAAGAGGGGAAGTGAGAACGGAATAGAGGGAGAGGGAAGGGAGGGTGAGAGAGAAAGAAAGACGCAGGGAGGAGAGAAAATAGAGAGATGAAAAATGAGGGAGCGAAGAGAAGGGAAGAGAGAGGAGAAGAGTGAGGTAAAGGGAGAAAGAAAGAAAGAAAGATTGAATGAATGAAAGACTGAAAGAAAGAAAGAAAGAAAGAAAGAAAGAAAGAAAGAAAGAAAAAGAAAGAATGCTCAAATGGTATTCGGAACTCTTCTTTTCGGGAGGGACGAAGAAGCACGCTGAATAATACCAGAAGGGAAACACCGTGAAGGAGAAACTGTTATGGCGTGTTCTTTAGCGCATTTATCTTTGTATTATTAATGATTCAAGAAAACAACGAAACTCCAATTGTGAATCAACAAGTATATATTGAAATAACATGTAAGAACAAAATATACAATAATTTGTATTCAATGTATAAATCAAGGGAAAAGAGTTGCGTTCCTTTTACCGTATTTTGATTTGTAATTGATTGTTCGAAAGAAATTTCTCTTTAGAGAGAAATGTTCAGGAATCAATTCAGGAACAAGTCTGCTGTTATAATAGATAACACAAGAATACAATTGATCAGAAAGTGTGTTGTGTTAGAGAAATCAACAGAGTCCTGGTAGATTGAACTTGGCTGAGTCACAGAGAGATATGTATATATGTATGACAAAATTCTGTGTCTGTGTGTGCGTTTAAAATTTTGTGAGTAAAGTCATAGGTTTGTGTTGACAGGCGAAATTTAGGGGACTCTACTGGCGACTTGTGACAAAGTCGCCTCTTTTAAAACTACAGATAGGATCCTAGCGAAACTGCGGGAAAAGTTGATTTTGCACTAAAATATGTGATTGGTTAAAATTTGACCAATCGCTCAATTTGTACTAACGAAACAAGTAAGCAAGTTCAAAACCGAAAAAGTCAAAGCAACGACTGCGATGGCTAAATTGTCCTATATAGAGGCAGTATTGATTTAATAGCCAATCGCAGACGAATAAAATGTGGGCGTGGAAAAACATAGCAGTCGCTACAAAACTATGTTGAAAAGTGACATATTTGTTATTTATAATCAAAAATGAAGGTGTTGTATTGAAATTGTTTTTACTTTTTGATTTACCATCATTAGCAAATTTGAAGAAGATATGTGATAGGATTATAATATATATATATATATATATATATATATATATATATATATATATATATATATATAACACTATTATTCATTCAATAGAAGACCCAAAAGTCACTGAAGATAGAAGTTTATTATATGATGTTGTAACGGTTTAAGGGAAAAAGTTAAGAAGTGCATATAATAAGCATATGCAGAATAAATAACGGTTCATCATAGACTTTAAGAGGTTCCCATTGTAGTAATTGCATAGTTTCAGGAGATTCTTCCACGTGTGGAATCTGCCAATTGAGCCATCGTTGTGGCCAATGAATTAAGAAGTGAACGAGGATGATTCGACTCCGTGGATGTGACATCGCAGCTTAGTTGAGATGGAACTAAGGAATATTATTCGTTTGAACTTTGCCACAAAATAACGATAAATAGCGATAAGCTAGCAACGTTTTATCTGTAGGTAAGAGGTTGTAAGGGAATAAATAAATTATTACCAACAAGGCTGGGTAAACAGCTTGGAACTCTGTCACTATATGGAAAAAATGGATTGGACAACTCCAGCGATATTATGGTAACAATAATCAATTTTTAGTCCGAGCTCATTCTTGTATGATAGAGTAGTCAGGCAATTTGGGGAGTGGCATAAGAAACAGGATTATTTTTTTCTAGTATCTTAAGTGATGGCTCGTATATACGAGTTTCCATGGAGCATTGGAGCAAGCTTGATGTTCGGTTACATAAAAGTGGGTCTACGTCTGCCTTTCAGTTTGTAACATAAACAGTACATATGTATACTTTGTTGACTCTGGTATAAATCAAACCTATTAATCTATAACTGTATATATATTTATCTATAAATATAGCTATAAAGTTGAAAAACTTGATGTTGCAGTAAATAAAACGTCGTCTGATATATCAATTATAATTTATTAATAACTAGCTTAAAAGTCACCCTGCGGAAGGCTCTCGATTAAGCCATCATCACAATAGGTAAGGAGGAGTAGATGCCATAGGCAAAAAATAGACTGCAAATATCTCATAATTGATCGCTACATTTAAGTATTGCATTAATAATTAAGTTTGCCTTTTAAATATTCAACGATAATTCTTCTGGCGCCATTCAATTTAAAGACAATTGGATGTGCGTAGGTCCTTACTTTCCGTACAAACAATTATTCTTATTTCATGGGTGACTTTCGCTAATTTTGATTATTCTAAAATTTATTTCCAAGTTATAAATATTTTTATCGCACAACAAAAAAAATCATCGAAAAAAATCGCCGAAAACCGTCGCAGTTATAAAAACTTGGGAATCCAAAATTTCAGAATTGCGTCTCCGGATCCGTCTCGAATTGTTTTAAAGTGCACAGAAAATTCCAAAATGGCATAATATGTTGGGCTACGGCCTCTAGGAGTAAAGTGGAAAACGTGTGACAATGACACACTGACATTCGCATTTATTATATAGAAGAAGGAGATGAGCTATTGAGGATTGTGTTCCTTTAATTGAAAAAGTGTGACACACTGACATTGACATTTATTCTATAGATAATAGGAGTAAACAATATGAATGAATCAATATATAACAAAGCAAAATAAATAATATATAGAAGCCCAATTTTATTGTTGATGTCGTTGTTAAAATTGTTTGAATGGTACTTGACAGAAAATAATTGGCCAGAAAGAACGAAAGTTAATAATAAATAATGCAAAATAAACTTTAGGAACGGAAACGCTTTCTACATATTCGAAAATACCCCGTCTTTTCTTAAAAAAAATATTATGTTGGAAAATTATTCGTTGTTAAAAATGTTTGAATGTTAATTAATAGAAAGTAATAGCTTATAAAGAACGAAAAGTTAAAAAAAATGCAAAACAATACAAAATAAACGTTAGGAATGAAAACGCTTTTTGTTGCATATTAGAAAATACCTCATCTCCCTTAAAAACGTGAAGTTTATATGTAAATAAACAAAGAAAGTCATTCGTACCAATGTAGGAATGAAATAGAAAATATAATAATCTATTAATGTTATATTTTAATATTCCTAATTAATTAACGTACTTTTATGAATAATAATAGTGTTTCTATATTCCTACGCTATTTTTTGTATTTATTAATTATTAATTTTATTTTATATTTCTTTTGATTTCTGTTGTATACGCATTTCCATCCGGGTCTAAGGTAAAAAATTTTCCACTGGTTATCAAAAAAAACAAAACAAAAACAACCTTAGACGACACATATTTTAATTTTTTTTTATCTACATAGAATATGTGAAAGCACATGCGAAACCCTGCCCTCGTCAACCACCAACAGTGGAGGTAACACAGTTTCGACGGCTAAGGCTTTGCCAACGGACAGGGTATTTTTTGTGTCGGTGTGTCAGTCTCTTGCGATTTTTTTACAACTGCAAGTCCGATGTCCAAAGTTGCGTTAAAAGCCTTTGCTTTTGATCGTTAACCAATACACAACGCGCTCGTAGCGACCGTTATCAATGTCGTAGAAGGCAATCAGATTGTTTCATATTGGTAGTAGCATTGTGTTACGAACATGGCTTTAATTAACTTTGTTTATTTTGGCTCTTGACCAGATCCAACTCGATACCTGTTGAGCCGTAGTCTGCAGATGATGTAAAGCACGTTTCAGGCCTCTGTCAGCGATGCCTACCTTCAAAAGGAAAGAAAAGATTGGACTTCCAAGGAATCCTGGCACCCGACCTCAATAAGTAGCACATGACGTGTACACGACTTTTCCACGCAGTCGGATGGCAGCAATTTGTAGCGGTTTTCTTTCGTTCTCCTCCTATGGAACCGTTAATTCTACTAGGAGGACACACTTCTTTGAATCATACCACTCTAAAATGTCAGGGATTGCGTCCGTCTGAATCATGTGTGCCGGAAATTGCAGAGAAGGCCTAAGATCAAGTAACACCCTCCAAACACGAGCTCTCTTCTGTAGCGAAATGTTAGGAGTATTTTGACTGTTCCGCATAGAGCGTTCACCTTCCTTGTGCAAACGGATCTTATGTTTTCTGGCCGTTACGTCCTGTTTGTTGGTTGCTTTACACTGTGTACTGACTAAGTCCATGTCCACTTCCACTAATTTGTTATGGAGCCATGTGTACATCTGCAATGATTTTGGGCGTGCAGAGAACACATGACGTAAAGTGCTTGAGTCACATTGATATAATGCGCATACATCGGTGTCAGTCTACCTCTACAGCTTGAGATTGGTCGTATTTGGTAGGAGATCATAGGTAGATCGCAGTAGGAATGATATTGCCTATGGATATTTGTTTTGACTCAGAAACAGCATTCCCGATTTCAATCATCTTGTGTCGTTTTCCCTTTAGACCCTGTTTGCAGAAAACTGATTGATTGTGCTGCCTAGGGCAGTTGGGTTAGTTTGGGTCTCCTTCAGTTTGCCATAGAGATGGATTCTGTCAAGTCCACTAGTACCACTTTATGCAACTCTTTACCTCGATGCCAATTAATCAGTGGAATTTCATACAGCCGTCTGAAGTTCTTCAAAGTCTACTCTTCGACTGTCGGGATCATGTCACACCCAATGCGGAAATGAATCTTCCTGATAAAGCGTCTGCGTAATGATAATCTCCGGGTTTACTTGGGTTTAGCTTTCATTCTCGCCCACATGAGGAGCTTATTTTAGCGCTGCTGCAGTTCATTGTCACCGACCTTAGACGGGACCAAAATTGTGATGTCATCAGTGAACGCTATGGAAGCATGAAGGAGCATATGTCCCTTAGTTACCACTCCCTTTGGTGTGTTCGCTGCACTCCTTAATATAAGTTTCATGGACATAATAAAAAGAAATGCTGAAATTACACACCCCATCATGGTGCCGACCCCGCGTGTTTGTCAATTGCTGGTATAGTTACCAAAGGTGAACTGCATAAACGCTGCTCTGAAATATTTCGTTATAATTTCTCCAACATTACTTGGGGAATTGAAAAATTCTAGGGACATTCGAATTAGCTGATGAGAAACTGATCTATACACATTAGAAAGATCAAGCTTAATTACATGAAGCTCAGTTTTATTTAGTTTGGCTGATAGGATTGAGTCCCAAATCATATGGGAATGATCCAGACAGCTGAAGAAGCGAAGTATCTCAGCTTTCTGGACAGCTGTAATGTGATGGTTACCTAGCAGAAAGTTTGTCATACGACGGAGAAGGATCTCCACACAAAAATATTTTCCCCCTCTACATTCAAGAGATGGGGCAGAAATTTCCATTGCCTTTGCATTCTTTTGCTTAGGTATTCAAATGACCCTCGCAAGGCACCAATCTTGAGGTACAATACCTTGTTTCTATGCCCGCGAGAGGAGGATGGCATATTGCTTTAGGACGTTTCAACAATACTTATATAACTTGTCAATTATTTCACTCATTCGGGATTTGCGGACGAATTCCCCTCAGCTTTAGTCCGCTGTCATGAAACCTAACGTCTGTATCTTGGAATGTCATTCATAGGAGGAGGTATTGGAACATCTTTCCAAGCATCACAATACACTATCCTCAGATGCTGACGCTGAGTTTGCCGCTCTTAGTCACGGTGAACATCTTTTTAGCAAAAGCGTAAGAATTATTGTAAAATGTTCCCCCGAGACTGTCACTTTTTCTTCCAACGTTTTCTTTTGTTCTCATCTATATATATCACTATGATCCTTAAGTAGGTCCTTAAGGCCTGCCCTCTCAATAATTGGAGTTTCTTTTAGTTAGCGATTCACAACTCTTTGCTTTGCTCTTAGTTTATCCTTTTGAACCTGTCATCTGTTTGGTCGCTTCTTTCCTTTCCTCTCTTGCAGTTGCTAAACAAAACGACTCAAGAAAAACCTCGTGCACAACTCTATAGAAAAAATATCTGACCTTCTGTCTAATTGGGTCTTTTAGGTCGTTGGTAAGTATTAATGAGAGTTCCTGATTTAGATTAAACCAAGTAGCTCTCTGATTGTCTTTGGGCCACTGGATACTTGGATTGCTTGGAATTTCTCCATGGCACTGACGCTCAGCAATGGGATCCAGAACACTGTGGGTGCAATCCAGATTCATAATCGCATCATTCGACTTACATTCTCCAGTAGGAGAATTGCATTACCTACACCAGCGTGCCTTATGGATACTTAAACCTCTCAGGCTGTCGAATTTCCTGCCGCAATCACACGTTGTAGCCAGTTTCAAGTCCTTGTCATTATCATTTGAATCAGTCAGATGGGTGATGAATTCTCTCTCTATGCTACAGACATCCAGAGAGCAATAAGAAAGCACATTCTGTTCCCGGGGACTTTGAGCCCGATGTCTGGGCGATTGACTGTATGTGTATATTGTAAAGTCCCATAAAATTGTTACAGATCCTATCTCTGTAACGGGGTCTAGGTGATGTTCATACCAGTTTCTTTTTTTTCCATAAAAGTTGCATATTTTCTAGTACAGATATTGGCCCATTCTGTCATGGCGAATTTTATATTCGGTTGGTGCTAACATTCTGCAACCTGATACAAGATGATCAATTGTTTCTGGTTATTTATCACGGAATCTGCATTTGATATCACAATAATTTTTCAGTATTTGCGCTTGGAAATTTCTACTTAGCAAACATTCGTCCTGTGCAGTAGAGAATAAAACCTTCGGTTTCAGCTTTTAATTATGCACTACACAAACAATCATGGGTGCCGGGTTTGTCTACATCAGTTGTTTGGTAGGGACAGAATATTGACCAGGACGAGGTTTATCTTGCCATCGTTTCTGCATTTGCTTTTGTT